CCTCCTCCTCCTCCTCCTCCTCCTCCTTCTCCTTCTTCTTCTGAGTCCAGTCAAAAATAAGTCTTTAAGAGTAACAAATAAATGATCAAACTCAGAAAAAGAAAGAAAGGAGGGCGGGAGGGAGGAATAAGGGAGGGAGGGAAGGAGGAAAGGAAAGAGAGAGGGGGAGAAAAAGAGAGAGGAAGGAAGGGAGGAAGGGAGAGAGGGAGGGAGAGAGAGAGAGAGAGAGAGAGAGAGAGAGAGAGAGAGAGAAAGAAAGAAAGAAAGAAAGAAAGAAAGAAAGAAAGAAAGAGAAGAAAGAAAAGAAAGAAAGAGAAAAGGAAAGAAAGAAGGGAAGGAAGGAAGAAGGAAGGAAGGAAGAAAAAGAAAGAGCGCTCACAGGATTCAGATCCGCAGGAAGGAAGCCAAGATTCCAGCTGCGGCTGGCGACTGGATGCTGGGAAGTTGGGAGGTTCTTTACTTTTTGCCTGGATTTCCGTGTTCTAAGTTTGATTTAGCCATAGTAAAGGCGTTAGTATACTGGTTTCTAGCTGCAGAGATTTTCGGAACTCTGACCTGGAATATTTCAAAGCTTTGTTAACTGCGGAGTCAGGCCTTGGACAGGCAACTGGCATTTTCCTGAAGTCTGGGTTCTCTGTGGTCGGCCGCCTCCTCTGGAGCCCTGGGTGACGGTTTTTCCATCTGGTCAAGGGGTAAAGCACAGAGAAAGAGCTCGGGGGAGGCGGGAGCGCGTGGGAGAGAGCCTGGTTCTTGGAACTCAGGAGAGGAGGAGGAGCCAGACAGCTGGGTACAGGGCGTCTGAAAAACCTTGTAGGCGATCTGAGACAAGACCGCTCCGGTCTGGCCGGTTAGCTCAGTTGGTTAGAGCGTGGTGCTAATAACGCCAAGGTCGCGGGTTCGATCCCCGTACGGGCCAGCGAGCTCGTCTTTTTTCACAAGAAAATGGAAGAGACTGCTTTTCTCAACTCTGAAAGTTGTCTGCGTCCTCTTCCTGGGCAGCCTATGCATCACAGAAGTTCCTGCTGCTCCTTATCCCCCGCCGCAGAAGTTTCTTGCAAGCCCTTTAGGACATTATCGGTTAAGCATTCAAAATTTTGCGGTTTTAAGCCCGGCTCCGGCTCCTCTGGCGATGCTGTTCAGTGAAGACCGGTGGCCTCGAGTGGATCTCAGTGTTCGTGGAGTTCTTCAGGCTGAAAATGCAGGTCAAGACAACGCGTTTCGCAGGTATTCCCCGCAAGCCGACTGCACGCGCTGGACGGTCCCCTGCTGCAGGGTTTTCAGAAACCTTCGCTTGTCTCTGTCTCCCTCCTGCCAGAGATTTTCGACTCCACACTTCTTCCTCTTGGTTCTGAATTCGGAGGCAGAGGACAGTTAACAAATTTCTCACGAAATGCTCTAGTCTCTGGGTCGGTCAGCGAGGTTTAGTTTAACAAAAACCACCTTTGGGCTCCTTTGTGGGTACAGGGTGGTGGATTTTGTTTTCCGTAGCCCAGGCTCACCTTAAAAATAAGATTCTCCTGCCCCCACGGCCTGAGAGCTGAGGCTACAGGCAGGGACCGCTCCACCTGGCCGCTCCATCCCTTTCTCAAGGGTTGAACCCCGAACTAGATAAGGGCAGGTCGAGTGCACAGAGATTAAGGTCTTGGTAAGGGCTTCAGATGGAGTCAGAGCTGTGGATCCCACACTAGTGGGTGGGACTGTTGCTATTGCAGACAAAATTAAAAGAAATGGACTGCTGGCGCCAGGAATAGGTGCTCGCACACGTCACGCAGGATAGACGTTCCTGGTACTTGGTTAGACCCAGTAGCGAATGGGGCTGGGCACTGAGACTAGATCTGAAGTTTGCTGTCCGATTTACCTTCATCTGACCACTGCCTCTCACCGTGGGGGGTGGGACATGATCCCTCTATGGCCTGTCTGCACAGAGCCTTGGGTTGGGCCCCTCTAGCGTGTGTTTTGTGGCTGTGATACTGCGGGAACTAAGCAGTGACAAGCTCAGCCTTTGGTTTTCATGTTTAGAGCTAGGTCTGAAGCTAGGCCCTGCTAGTGCCCAGTAAACCCTCTTCGAAGCTGTGTCCCAGCCCTTTGGACTGGGTTTTCGGCATGACTTTTCTGTGGGGAACATGGAAGTGGACTGGGAGATGGTGAAGGGATTGGCTGTCTTTTTTTTTTTTTTTTAAGATCTATTCATTTGGCACATGCCTTTAACCCCAGCACTTGGGAAGCAGAGCCAGGCGGATCTTTGTGAGTTCAAGGCCAGCCTGGGCTACAGAGCGAGATCCAGGAAAGGCACAAAGCTACACTGAGAAACCCCGTCTGGGGAGTTGGGGATCTATTTATTTATTTATTTATTATGTATACAGTGTTCTGCCTGCATGTACGCCTGCAGGTCAGAAGAGGGCACCAGAGCTCATATAGATGGTTGTGAACCACCATGTGGTTGCTGGGAATTGAACTCAGGACCTCTGGAAGAGCAGAGCCCTGGGATTGGCTCTTTTGCTAAGTGCAGAAAGGAAACAGCTGTTTTGTCACATGTAGCTTTGACTCTCTGATAACCGAATTCTGTTGTGGGTGTGCTGTGTGACATCAGGAGGAACAGGCAGACCTCTGCCTTCCAAACACATTTGAAGGTGTTCAGAATACTGCCCCACAGTGTAAAACTTACTTGGGAGTTTGGAGAGGTGGCTAAGTTGTTAAGCTGTTTGGTTCCCAGCCCCTATGTCAGCACACTTGGCAGCCACTAGTTCCAGGGCGTCGGATAGTTTCTTCTGGCCTCCACGGTACCTGCTCCCATGTGGCATTCGCTTACACAGACACAAGCACATAAGTAAAGTAAACCTTTTTTGGTTTGGTTTGGTTTTTCGAGACAGGGTTTCTCCATGCAGTTTTGATGCCTGTTCTGGATCTCACTCTGTAGAGCAAGCTGGCCTCACACTCATAGAGATCCGATTGGCTCTGCCTCCCGAGTGCTGGGATTAAAGGTGTGCGCCATGGCTGATTGGCAAGAGTAAACCTTAAAAAACAATACTTTAAGTCAGCTGTAATGGCACAAGCCTTTAATTCCAGCATTCAAGAGGCAGAAGCAGGCTGATCTGTGTGAGTTCTGAGGACATCCATCCATCCATCCATCCATCATTCTCTTGAGTGTGTGTTCTGGGACAGAGCTTGTGTTGGGCACCCAATGAGCAATATGTCATTCTTATCCTCAAGATGTGCATAGTCTAGGTGGCAGGTAGGTGTGGGATGGGTCACCTTGGAAACACATTAGGAGGCTTGTGAGCACAAATGTTAAAAATGCAAACATTTGCCAGGCGGTGGTAGCATAAGCCTTTAATCCCAGCACTTGGGAGCAGAGTCAGGCAGATCTCTGTGAGTTCAAGGCCAGCCTGGTCTACAGAGCGAGTTCCGGACAGGCACCAAAACTACACAGAGAAACCCTGTCTCGAAAACCAAACCAAACCAAAACAAAAAAGCAAACATTTTGGGGCAGGAGAGGTGGGTGAGTGGTTAAGAGCACTGGCTGCTCTTACAGAGGTCCTGAGTTCAAGTCCCAGCACCTACATGGTGGCTCATAGCCATCTCTACCTGTTTCA